TACTGCCTCGGAAACCCAAGGAGGGGTCGCTATGAGCCAGGGCTGACTTGACGGCACATAACAACAACAACAATGTTTTCTCATGATTACAATGAGGTAGTTTTTACCAAGTATATGACAAACAGATGTTGTATTTTATTCACTATCATTTCAAAGTGTTCATAATGTTGATATATTTTATTACTAATTATGTGTATATTGATAGCTTGTTTGCCATAGATACTTTGAACTCAGTTTTATCAGCTGTGCCCTTAGGCCTGAGGCCAGGTAATGTGGTATGTACTTCTTCCTGAAGCCATACAGACTATTCAGTAAAAGCATCATACCAGCCCAATTCAGTGTGGTACATCTTGCCTTCAAAAATCTCAAGCTGATCACCATGAATTGTGTCTATTTCTCAATGGTAGGAAGTACAAAGGTCGATCTTATTTTTCTATTGAGATGATTATATGTCTGTTTTCTTCTATTTTGGTCCAAAGTCTGATACGGGTCTCACCAGACCAAAGTCCTTGTATTGGCATGCTGTGTTCCCTTCTGGAGATTCTAGGGGAGAATCCATTTTCTGCTCCTTTAGGTTGTTGGCTAAATTCAGTTCCTTGTGTTTATAAAAGTGAGGTCCTATTTTCTTGTTGTCTGTAAGCCTAGGCCTTTCCCAGCTTCTAGACTCAAGGCTGCTTTCCTCCATCTTCAAAGCCAGCAACAGTGGGTCTAAGTCTCTCTCATGTGGCATCTCTCGAAGGCACTCTTCTGCCTCACTCTTCTACTTTTAAGAACTCATGTGATTAGATAATCCAGGATCATCTCCCTAGTTTAAGGTCAACTGATCAGCAACTTTAATTCCATCTATAATCTTATTTTTCTTCTGCCATATAATGTAACACATTCTCAGGTTCCAGGCACTAGGATGCAAACATCTTTGGGGGATCATTTTCCTGTCTACCATGTTCTTCTTTTCTGTTAGTACAATAAATTACATTGATTTTTAACATTCTATTGTGATTACATATATATGACATATAATTTATAATGTACTATTTAAACCATTTTTAATAATTTCATTGATTGTTGTTGAGAATATACACAGCAGAACATACACCAATTCCACTATTTCTACTTGCACAATTCACTGACATTGATTACATTCTTCAAGCTGTGCACCCGTTCTCACCTTCGCTGAGTTTTTCCTCTTCATTAACATGCACTCACTGCTCCATCAGTTTCCTGTCTAATCTTTGGAGTTGCTATTGTCAATTTGACCCCATAGAGATAAAGCTTAAAAAAGCACAGTGCTCAAGGGTGACATTCTTTACTTCTTGTTGTTGTTGTTGTTATGTGCCGTCGAGTTGGCCCCGACTTATAGCGACCCCTCCTTGGGTTTCCGAGGCAGTATCACTACAGAAGTAGGACTGCCCAACCTTCCTTCCTAGTTAAGCTAAACTATTGTTTGGTTTTAAGAAGACTTCAGGTTTAGGGTTTAAAGATTATTCAAAGGCAATAGTTTCAGGGGTTCATCCAGCCTCCATGGCTCCAGAAATTCTGGATTCCATGAGAATAGGAAATTCTGTTCTGCATTTTCCCCTTTTGATCAAAGATTCTTCTATAGAATCTTTGATAGAAATGTTCAGTAATAGTAACTAGACGCCATCCATTTCTGTTCTCATGGCAAAGGGAGCAATAGTTTATAGAGGCAATTAGCCACATGTTTCATATCTTCCTCCTGTTCCTGACTCTCCTTCTTCCTCCGTTGCTCTAGGTGAATACAATCCTCACACTTCAAAGGGCTGCTTCCAAGCTTTTAAGAAGCCAGGTACTACTGAATGATCTAGGAGGTGGAATAGATGAGCTAAACATGTTAATAGGCCAATTTTTTATGTGTACAATGCAGGGGCAAACAAATAACATTCACAATGCTGTGTAACCATCACCTCTAATCAATTTCCATAACTTTTTCATCACCCTAAACATAAACCGTGTACTCATCAAGCAATAATTCCTATTCTCTTCTCCCCCCAACCCCTGGTAAATTCTATTCTTTCTGTCTCTATGAATTTACCTATTCTAGATAACTCATGGGACCTCTGGTGGCATAGTGCCTAAAGCATTTGACCGCTAACCAGAAGGCTGGAGGTTCAAACCCACCAGTCACTCCTCGGAAGGAAGACTGGGCAATCCACTTCCATAGAGATACCACCTTGGAAACCCAAGGAGGTGTCGCTATGGTTGGATTCGACTGGATGGC